AAGCTAATTTATGCTCAGTGTACAGAAGCTAATGTTTCTGTACTCCTGTGAGCCACAGGACCAGAAAACCAGCAAGTGCGTACGTGGGGCTGGCGCCGGGTACGCGGCTGCAGGGAGCAAGGCCGGGACCCCTGGTCCCTGTGGTCTCAGTGGCAGGGCAGCCTAGCCAGTACCCATGCCAGAGACGGTCCCTGTCTGAGCTGTGTCCCACCTGCTTCAGAAAGCCTGCTCAGAAAAGGTGAAGATGTCTTCAGTGTACATTTTTGGAAGTAAAAGAAAGATGCTTACTTTAAGGGAGGAGCCACGAATCATCCTATTTTAAACTTTCTATTTAAAAATGCCAAAGTGACCACTGCTTCCAAGTAAATGCTACCTACTGAGGTTTTCACTCAGAATGATATTCGGACCCACAGTAAGTGAAATATGCCAAAATAGGACATGAAAACCTTATGGGCTAACAGTCAACTGCTATCAAACCCCACGTATTTTTCTATCTTTAAACAGACCTTGAACTATACTACTGTATGCGGTCGAGTCGTTTCTGACTCATAGCGACCCTGTAGGACAGAGTGGAACTGCCCCATAGGGTTTCCATGGCTTCCATCTTTACGGGAGCAGATTGCCACATCTTTCTCCAGCAGAGTGGCTAGTGGGTTCAAACCGCTGACCTTTCAGTTAGTAGCCGAGTGCTTAACCACTGCACAACCAGGGCTCCTTCAGTGAATGAGTGCCCAAACCTGTTGCTATCAAGTCAATTCCCACTCACAGTGACCCTACAGAACAGGGCCCCTAGGGTCTCCTAGGCTGTAATCTTTATTGGAGTGGATCAACAGGTCTTTCTCCCACGGAGCCGTTGGATGGGTTCAAACTGAAACCTTTCAGTTAGCAGTCGGGCACTTTAACCACTGCGCCACCACAGCTCTATACACTTGTTAAATCTCATTTTTACTTAACAAAAATAAGTCACAGGAAGGGGACTGGGAAGTGAATGTGGATGAAAGACGCAGGCTGGGCAGAGTAAACAACTAGAAGAGGTATGTGACCTGCTGCCAGACATACACGCCATTCCCAAACAGCCACAATGAAGCAGGAGAGGCAAGTGCTTCATGACAGAGCGCAGACCACGAGTCCCACGTGCAGACCCACTGGAAGGAACGCAGCGCGTCACAGACCACGAAGATCCAGGGTAGGAAGGCTTCCTAGAAAAGATGAAGAAAGCACCTTCCCGTTCCAGGGTTGAGGGCTAGCCTAACCGCTTAGCAGCAGCAGCACAGCACACACAGGGCCAGCTCCTCACCACATCACAACACTAAAAAATCGTCACCCAAACAGCTCCCGTAAGACGTCTATTCCTCCTCCTGCTACGACCTTCAGTGTCGGTCAACCTACTCTAGAAGTCGCTGTTCTCGAACCGAATACTCACAATAATTAAGATTTAACTGAATTTTACCGCTTTAAAGTACTTCAGCATAGCTCACTGGTAATCTCATTTAACCTGATTATACAATAAAGATTATTTATAAGTAGATTTTGTTATAATTTAAAAAATAATTTACATGTATGGGTACAGCAAGATGGTGGGATGTACCAGATTTGTATTATTTGAAAGTAACTGTGTATATTTATATAATTACATATTAAAATATATGGTTAATTATATATGTGTAAGGAGGGGAAGGCGCATGGTGGTGCAGTGATTACGCACTCGGCTGCTAACTGAAAGGTCATGGTTCAAACCCACAGCCGCTCCAAGGGAGGAAGACCTGGTGACCTGCTCCCATAAAGATGACAGCCTAGAAAACCCGATGGGGCAGTTCTGTCACGTGGGGTCGTTGTGAGTCAGAATCAACCTGATGGCCCACAACAACACGGACGAATATAAATAACACTCACACCGGCCTGTGAAGAAGCCCACGAACCCTGGCCCTTGGTAGCAGAGAGGAGGGAAAAAAGGCTCCTGTGAGCTTTATAACCAGAAGTCCAAGCCCCAGCAGGATTACACTGAGAATTCACATGGCACCAACGGTTAAGCGCTTGACTACTAGCCGGAAGTCTGGCAGTTCAAACCCAACCAGAGGCGCTTCGGAAGACAGGCCTGGAGATCTGCTTCCAAAAGGTCACAACCTTGAAAACCCTATGGAGCAGTTCTACTCTGCACACATGGGGTCTCCATGTGTCAGAATCGGCTCAACGGCAGCTAAGGACAACAGTAGATGGCCCCCAAAATTCTCAAACGTCGTAAGTTGCTAGTGCCCCCAAAGAATTGGGCTGGTCGTCCCCCCGGGAGCCTGGCAGAAGTAAACGTCCATTCTCTTTGGACTCAGTTTAACCCAAGTCTCAAATAATTCCTAAAGTTCTCAGAAATACGAGGTCACAGCCAAAAATCACAAAATCTAAAGGAATAAAGTTTACAATATACAAAAGCAGAAACCAACAGAAAAAGGCAGCTGATGTGTAAAGACTTCAGATATTAGAATTACTCTGGAATATAAAAAGGTTCTGCTAATACTAATGGCATTATATATTGTTATAATGACTGATCTTATTATAAAACATACTGACAGTTCTGATTTCAGAAAGAAGAGACTTGGTTGGAAGTATGCATACAGGTCGAGGGTGTGAGGAACGAAAGCTGGAGAGGGGCTGGGCAGCAGAGCAGACACAGCCCCGGGGGAGAACACAGTGGAATGTAGCGCTGACGGACAGCTCCAGAACGCAACCGAGAGATGAAGACACAGGAAATACGAAAGAGCAGTTTTGAGACATGGAGGGTACAGATGGAAGACCCTGCACGCAGTCAACTGGAGCGCGTAAAAAGAGAAACCGTGAACAGGGCAGAGACCATCTTTGGAAAAATAATGGCTGAGAGGTCTCCAGAACTGAAGACAGCCAGTGAGCCCCCATCGATGGAGGAGATACAGTGAACTCAAGTTGATGCCTTTTAGAAAGTGCACGCTTACCTATATCAGAGCGAGACTGCAGAACACCAAAACAATGAAAAGATCTTGAGGCAAAATCATTTTTCAGACGTGGCTGCTCTATCACTGAATCTTCCAATCATACTTTTAAAATTATTGTTCTGCAGTTTTCACAAACTAAAAACCCAAAACCAAACCCATTTCCATCGAGTTGATTCTGACTTATAGTGACCTTATAGGATAGAATAGAACTGCCCCATATGGTTTCCAAGAAGCGGCTGGTGGATTCAAACTGCCAACTTCTGGTTAGCAGCCAAATGCTTAACCACTGCGCCACCAGGGCTCCTTAACTAACTAGTAATCTATTAACCAGGATGTCTACACAGAGGGAAGTTGCGGTTGACCACCTTAGCTATCATACATACCATCAGAGCAACACGACATACAGTCATGCACCGCTTAATGTGCACGACACGTTCTGTGAAATAGGACGTTATGTGAGCACTGTATTATACACAGGCAGTCCCTGGATTATGAACGAGCTCCATTCCTAAATCTGTCTTTAAGTCTAATTTGTAAGTAAGTCAGAACAGTTAGGTACGGTTTGTATCTAACATCATTTGTCAAACGTTTGTCTTAGTGTATAATACAGAGTGTACCTTTCTATGCATGAAAACATTAAAGAAACACTAAAACATCTTCAACATAGTAACACGGTAATAATAGTAACAATAATGCTCTGATGCAGGTCACAAAGCAGTGCCTGTCTGTTATTATGAAGCACTGTATGTACCGCAAATTTTTCATGTAGTAGGCTTTACAGGGGTTGGTTCATAACTATGGGTTGTATGGAAGTCAGACGTTTGTAACCAGGGGACCGCCTGTATAACCTTATGGGATCACGTTCATACATGTGGTCGGATGTTGCCTGAACGGACAGTATGTGGCACGTGACTGTATAATAAGGCTCAAAGCTTCACTTCAAAAAGTGGTGTGAAACGGTGGGCGTTTAATTTGATAAGAAGCTTAAGACACCTAGAATGCGTATCTGTGCACACCACATTGCTAACTGAAATCTCTTGACGACTCCCCATATCCACGGAAAAGGTTTACACTCCACTGTATGGGATTCAAGGCGCTCGCAGTGTAGATCTTCACACTTTTCCACATGGCACCCACACTCCTCTGCACAGG